TGTAGTCATTTTTAAAAATAACGTTCGCATGTGTCTAACACCCCCCCCCCACCTATAAGAAATAAAATACAACTATATTTAACTACAATTAAACCAATCGTTTAAATCATGTATTATAAACATGGAATCGACAATAATTCATAGCTAAATTCATTTAAAACTTGTTATTAAATGATTAATGTTGATAACAAAATAATCCCTTAAATTATTTAAATGCGAACGTTCTTAAAGACTTTACCCCCCCCCTCCCCCACGTTCGCAAATGTTCGCATTGGCCGACCCCCCCTCCCCCCAAGTGCGAATGTAATTTGTGAACGCTCCCTATTGGAGAAAATGACAGTTAAACCAATGTTTAAATTAAAACAAATAGTATATTCTGATATGTTGTGCTATACCTTGCATTTGGTGTAATTTCATGCCATTATTGATTTAATAATTATTTAATAGTGTATTTACGCTCTGAATAAACAATATATTTTGTCAAAATGTAATTCAATCACATTTTAATGATATACTGTATTAAAAATGTGGAATATTTATGAAATGAGAATTTACCATAAAGAATATTCTAATGAATAGTAAATGAATATAAATGAAGCAAAATAGCGCACAAGAGGCGGTGTTTTAAAATAAAAACCCTAATGAATCTGATAGTAAAAATGATGTACAAACCATAATTAGTGTTCGGATCGTTAATCCAATCTAAAACCGCTTGTTTTACGTAAAACACATCCCAACCGATAGAATGAGTGCTCATTCTTCTCACGTCAAGTAATCTCTTATTTGAGTTGTCTTTTGATAATATTTGGTATACTTTTACCTAAAAATAAATTTTATATATACTTATAATTAATTACTAGATATATATTTTTTCATGTATTAACAAAAATTTGTTAATTAAGAATCTGATTGTTTTGCGCAAAATTATTGAGCCGTATATTCAATTTAGTGTTTGTATTATTAATACAGTATTAAAACAATAATACATTTCAGTTGTGCAAAAGTCATGCAATTTTTGGCCCAAACTTTGTATTTCTGTTGGCAATTATAGGCGTTATTCGCATCAATGCTTGATATCAACCCATTCTGTAGAAAACATTCAACTATTTTCTAAATAAATGAACATTTTTTCCTCAGATTTCAATCACAACTAATGTTTTGATGTTTTTAGTAATTTTGTTTAACTTTTTTCTAAAAGTAATTAATGAAAATTTTTGAATTGAACACACGGCATGTTTGCACAATGTTTTTAATAGTTATCTCTATTTACAAAATAACTTAAAAAACTTTCTTAAGGCAAACTGAATATATGGTGAATAGTTTGTGATAATAGAAATATATTCACTGAAAATAAATGTATATTTAATGTGAAATAGTGTCTAAAAGTCTAGAAACTATTGCATACCTCTAGAAGATTGTGTTTGGGATCATCACGTCTTTCAATAAGCTTTGTATGGGATTTAAGTTTATAGATATGAAACTCGGCTTCAATTATGTGTTCGTCTGAAGGGATGAGTTGAGAGAAATTGAAATAAAAGTTCAGATGAGATGATGTGTCGGATGAGAGATCTGTTTAATAAAACATACGATTGGCTCGAATTAATCAATTTATTGTCAAATGTTTTGAACCAAACATAACATAACATTACATGAAAAGCGAAAGGAATTCAAATAAAACTAATTGAACGGCAAATAAATTTTGCGTCAATTTATTCCTTTGAGTGTAATTTTATTTCATTTATTTTGTTGTCTTATAAGAGATTCACAACAAATGAAAACAATGGGAATGAGAATCAGAAAAGCGATATAAAAATCGCATTTATTTCGGAGTTTATGTTTGAGTTTCCGAAAAAATAGATTATTTGCTATATTTTTAGATGACTTCTTGTGTTTTATATTTCTATCTCTAGTTTTAGTTTTTCTTCTTTTGTTTAGTGTTAAAACACTAATACGTTTCCGATTTTTTCGTTTCAAGTTTTTTCGATTAAATTTTTAGATAAATTTTTTGAAACAAAGATTAGAAACGTTTTGGTCTTTATTTCGCCGAAAAAGGGCTTCAAAAACAGTAAATAATTGAGAAGAAAAGCAAAAGCAGTGAGTGTTTGGACAGTTGGCTGAGGGATGAGTTAAATGCTTTTAAATGGGAAGAACTTTATTCATCTCTCATTTTCCCGGAGGAAGAAAATATTTTTTCAATAAATTGAAAAATTCTTGAGTTAATGGAAAACATGTTTAAATGGCTTTTTTGAGGCAAAAAACTTTTTTCTCTCTCAATTCCTGTGACTGTATATATCGGCCCTTCAAACGAGACCTAGAATTTGAATGATTTATATATAAATGCATTTTTTATTTACATATTTTACTAAAGAATTGAACATAAGTTTAGCCTCAATTGAAAAAATCTTTTCAATACCTCGTATTAGCGATACTATTATATTATGAATTCAGATGCTATGAAAGCGTTGCCAAAGAAACGATTACTTGTGTTTGTGATGAGTAAAGACGGCATACAAACGGAATTTCCTATTTTCTTCATTCAATTCATACAAATTCTACTCAAATATCATATGAATCTAGCCTTCAATTCAGTAAAAATCAATTTTTGAAAATAATTTCACTAAAAATAAATTTCCATAAATAAACTACTCCTGAGTGGGTATAAAATAATAGCGATTACAAAATAGCAAAATATAATACAAAACATTTATTGTGTATAATTGTAAATGTCTTTCATTGAAATTGTATTTTATTATTCATTATAGTTTTAATCTAAAACTTACTTTTCATGTCAACATTTAATTCTTCAATGAATTATAAAACAAGCATTTCATTGAATATTGAGTTAAACGAAGTACAATACAGGCATAACATGTGTTGAATACAATGTTAACATTTTATGGAAAATTTTATTTTCAATAATTCATTTTATTTAAAAAAATATATAAATATAGTTACGATTTATAACCATTAATTAATCATGGTCATTGGTTGTTAATGAATGTCTATGACTGAGTTATTATACCGATATTCTTTACTAAATGATTGTCACTATTAACCATTTAAGAATCAATGTTATTTAACTTACATATAAATCAATATTATAAGTTCAATTTTTCTAATTATACATTGTAACATACATAACTTATAAATATTTTTACCTCACTGTATTGTTTAAAAATTAAATTCATAGACAATATTTATACTATTTCTATGGGAATCCATATAAGATACTGTAATATTACTGATATATACAGTATGGACAACAATATCATTTTAATTGCATTCCAGACTTATTGTTATTTTAGTATTCACAAACTGACCTTGTATTTTATTATTTAATATAATTTGTTATTGCATCTAGCTTAGTTATTTGACCATGTTGTATTTTTCAAATAAACTAATTTAAAGAATATGTTAAACTTTTATAAAATTTTATAAAAAAATAACAAATATCGCTATTATTCAACTATTTATATGAAAAGTTATGTTTATTACTGCAAAACATTTCTTTAACGCACAAAAATGTAAATCGATTTTTATTGAAAATATGAAACTTTGAATTTCAGGTGAGTTTTTTCCAAAACCTATTATTACTTTTATTGTATATTTTTCTCATTTTTCTGTATCTATTTAAAGCGTTTTAATTCAATGATAAGATTATAGCTCTAAAAAACGGGTTTTATTTGTTAAACGCATAAAGAATAGTGTTATTTGATTGCAGTGTTTGCATAACTATTGATATTTAATTAGATTTTATTTATAATACATTGTGTTCTTTGGCTATAAGGAAGAATCAGAAATACGTAAACAATGTTTTGATAATATTTTTTAAATTTGATTTTTAAAATAAAAAGACCATTTGGAAGAAATTTATGACTCCAAGCGATTGAAATATTTTTCAAAACAATTATTTTTATTATTATGAAATTGTCAAACATAATAAATAACTGCACTAAAAATTTTGCTATTAGAAAAACTAGATAAAAATGAAAACTATAAGCGTGCTAATTACTAAATATTTTAAAATGATCATTAAATGTAGGCATAAATTAAAAATATAAAATTCATATTGTGTTAATTGTAATGAATATGAATGGTATGCAAGTGTATTGATTTTGCAATTGTCATCTTCACAATTCACGACACAAATTAATTCCTGAGTTGTAGTGAAATTGTAATTTTGAGGCGATTCCGGCGCTCACTCTTTGTTTAATGTCGTGACACTAATATCTTTCGCTTATCATTAAAGTGGACACAAAAAGCAGAATATTTTATACTAAATCAGACTTACAGTACTATAAAGGCTATCATAAAACTGGAAGAGTGTTTCCATTAGTTTTGTTATTAAATTATATTATAGTGTATTCACAATAGTATGGCATCTAAATAAGTGCTGCTATAAGAAGGTTGGCATCAAATCAACTCCAATATATAACATATAAGTATGATATATGTTATAAATAATTAACTAATACAGTTAATAATTTAATCTACTTTATTTTCTTTAATATTCCTAATCACTTTTATATTAAGTGTTAGGGTTTTCAAGTAATATTTTACACAAGATTCACAGCATTTAACTTTTTGACAATAAAATATTCATTGAGTTAACGCTTTTATTAGTTTATTTTGCGAATTGCTTTAATTAAAAGAGTTTCTAATGAGAAAATCGATTCAAATAACATTTTCACTGCTATTAATGCACTCGTAATTGCTTTTCATATGATATAAAAATTTATGCTAAAAATTTTCTAATTAAACAAAAATTGATTTTTAATTTTAAAAGTAAAATACAGTAATTCTTGAATTCTTACGAATGGGTTCAACAAAATACATGTATTGATTATATAACTAATTAAATAATAATTGTATTGCACTTAATATTAATAATATTAACAGAAATAACATTTCACTTAATTATTCTCAATAGATTATGACTGAATTGACCGCATATATAGCATAAGTGGTTTGAGTGCTCTATATTTATTGATATAAGAGCTTTACTTTTTACACATTTTATTCTTTATTCTACTTTTGAATTTGAATTTACATTTGAATACAATTTTTCCGTTGACTTCACAAATATTTGATATTTTATAATTTTTATTATATGAACTTAATGTTTATCTGCGTGAAAGACATTGTGTGTGTATGTGTGTGTGTGTGTAAGAGAGAGA